CTCTCTCTCTCTCTCTCTCTCTCTCTCTCTCTCTCTCTCTCTCTCTCTCTCTCTCTCTCTCTCTCTCTCTCTCGTCTCCCCCTGTTCAGTGACACATGGTAGTCTCTCTCTCTCTCTCTCTCTCGCACGCGCGCGCGCCCACGCGCGCGAGCGAGTCTCTCCAGGCCTTCATATGGAGTGCGGATGGCAAAACACTTGGCTATGGTGGAGATGTAGCTGATAGTCCGATGAGATTTTTCTTTGTCGTAGCAAATTCGTTTTATAAATCTGTTTCATTCCAATGTTGGTCATCTGCTTTTTCTTTTTTCCTTTTTACTTTTTCCTCTTTCAAGTTTCAACTCTATTGATATCCCAGGTAGAACCATTGCTGCATTGCACATGCTATTGCTTTCTCTTTCTCTCAACCGATTGACTGTGCTAAGAGGATACTGCTGGGCGGAGGTCATGCTTGACCTACACCATCTTTTCTTCTCTCAGTACAGACGCAATGTAACAGTTTATACTTTGGACTTATATTTTTTCCTTGCTTGTTGGTTGTTGCCTTGCCCTTGTTTGGTGTGCCTCAGGCTGTGTATGGTCTGCCCTCCAGCCGTTGTATCTTTAGTATGTGTTGTGGACACTCGTCGTCTTTTGCTTGTAAGTGCACTTGGCTGCAAAGCGTTGTATTGGAACTTGGAACGCATCTTAGGGTGACCGCTGCACAGTTTCGAATTCGCAGCTCTCTCTTTCTTTTTTTTTTTTTTTTCCTTTTTTTTTACCTCGGATGTGGCCGAGGCATCGCGGCAGTGGCCAGCCACGCGCTTGGAAAAAAAAAAAAAAAAACGAGAGTGAATCTTCCACTAGAACATGGAAAGATGCACCGCTACGAGGCCCCAAGGATGACACGCATAGGTTGTTGTCAGCCCGTGTATCTCGTTGGGCCCCTGTATCCCCTTTGCACAAAAGATAAAAATCATGGCGCTGTATCTTTCCATGTTCTAGCGTAGATTCACTCCCTGTATCTCGTTGGGCCCCTCTGCGTTTCCGGTGGGCCGTCGAACACATTTTTCCTTGCAGTTTCGAACTTGTCTTCACCCAAGCTTGGAGTTTCGAACTTGTCTTCGCCCAAGCTTGGAGTGGACTGTTATTCCTGCGAATTCGAAACTGTGCAGCGGTCACCCGCGGAGTTATTTCAACAAAAAAAAAGCACCGGATGATGATAGATTATTTTGTCGGAGTTCCACCGGCTCATCAGGAGGCTGAACCCTCGACAATCTGCGAAATCTCCATTTTGGATGGTTAGGGTCATGAACCCTTTGACCCATGTTGAAGGCAGACTGTCCCCAAGCAGAACATAGCAGTGGGCAGCAACCCTGCGAAGCACCAGCCTCCAGGTAACACAGTAGAGGCACCATGTCTGCACAATGCCAAAAACGACTGCAAGGAACAACACTGCAAGCGGATGATGGATCAACAGTACAGCAACCGTGTAGTGAAGCGCAAGGCAACATCACCAAGGCAACCAACACTGCAAGGAATGACAAGGCGAACGGACCAGCAGCTGGGAACCGTGCAGCGAAGCACAAGGCAACAGCAACAAGGCAACCAACCTACAAGGCACGCAAGCAACAAACACGGAGGGCACGGCCAGCGGATGGGCAGCAAGGCAGCGGAGCAGCGAAGCGCAAGGCAACACCAACAGCATGGCCATACCACACGGCGGACACAGCAACTTGCAGAGGACCACATGCGAAGCAAGCGGGACAGGCAGCAAGGCAGGGGCGGAGCGCCGACAAGGCAGTCCACGCACCCAACACGGAGCAAAGCGACACATGACCTACTCACATCACGATTGAACCCCACAGACTGTTGGTTCCCACCATCCACTGAGCCAGGGAGACACTCCGACGAGCATCCACATCACCCACAGGCAACATGACATCCCGAAACGAGCAGCCCCCCTAAGAGTGCGGTAGGCACTCCGAACAATGGACCACCTACCGTTTAGCACTTCTTGAGGGTGCTCACTCCGACAGACAGAAAGTACTTAGCAAAAATCAGGGGAAGGGAAACAGACATACATACATACATAAAACTGATTGTGTGTGTGTGTGTGTGTGTGTGTGTGTGTGTGTGTGTGTGTGTGTGTGTGTGAGCATGTGTGTGTGTGTGTGTGTGGGGGGGGG